GTAACAATAGTCTGGAATGTGTATAGGGATTGGACATGTTGGAGGGGGTACCCCTCGGTCTCATTTCTTGCTGGGTATAATAACTCCTGTTATTATATACCGACAGGGTACTGACTCCAAGGACTGTTCCAGCGTCTTGTTTTCTCATTGCGAGCTTTGGAGCTGATTCTCTTTATTGCGACTTGAGTCTTTTCATCAATTCAGCGTACATTCTACCATGAATCTTTCCAAACTGGCATCCAACAGGCCTGGAAGGCCATTATTTTCGTGCGGGCTCCTCGTTTATGGGTGTCAGTTTCTTTTGAAATAAACCCCGGGTGCAAGAATGTCATGATTTTTTTACAGGCCCAGAGAAGCTCACTGAGGTTCACTAACCAAAAAGGCTGCTGCATATTTGATTACATGAGATCACTGAATAACAAATAACAACAGATGTCCGACAGCGGACGTCTAGCTTCCATCACAAAAGCTCACTGGCGCTCATTGTACGGCCATGAACAAAAAGCAGAGCTCAGTTCAGAAAGGCAACATACGTGTGTGATATTCTTTGCCAAAGTATTTGCAGGGGAAACGTCCAGCTGAGAAGCCATGGATCCCGCTACAAGAATGATTTCTCTACTCGTAGTGCTGGCTTTGAGCCGTGCTAGCTTGGGAGTAATGCGTGAAGTCGAACAAGAGGTAGGTTTAAATGAAGTTGTAATGAGGTTTAAAATTAAACAAAATAAGTAACAGCCGCACGGTTCTAGTGAAACCACCCGTTTCGAGGAAACGGTTAGGACAGTTTTCTTTTGCCACCGGTGATCTCAGTGATGTGCACGTGGACCATTCTAACCTTAAACTCGAATTATACCACTTTTCAAAAAGAATGTATTAACTTTTGTGGGATCCTTCATTTACATTCTCGGCATCCCACAGGAAATTATCCAGTGGGTTGAACTGGCATCTCCGTCCGAAAATTGGGATATTTTACTTGTTCAGGCAGCAATATTGGTTAAGTTACAGTCGTGGCCATCTTAACATACAAGCATGCTGAAAGGATGTTCTTTAGTCTCGCGGTCAGCCATCAACAACTACTCCTTCTCCACGAAAACGTCTGCAAAGTTGTTTCCGACTCCTGCATGCACCAACCTTTGCTGTGAACAGCCTGGGTGTGATTGCCCAACCAAAATGGAAAGACAACACCCTTGTATGTGATTCTCTTCCGATTATCCAATATCACATCCAACACTACTTTCCAAACTATGTGTGAAATTTGGTAGCACAAATAGCTGTGATGGAAAGGTAAGTTGGCACAATCAAAACAGTCAAAATGTGTTTATGGCAGTTTGTTAATGGCTATCTGTAAGGTTTGTATAGGTTGTACAGTTCTGAAAGTAATCCAGCACACCACCAAAATTACACCCGTGCAGGAAATCACATTCAAGAAAGTCCAAATTCACCTCTTTTAAAGGAGTTCCACATACGGACGCCAGTAATTATTCCCTACAGTGACTTTTTAGCCATAAGAAAGTAAAAATATGTCCGGAAAAAGTTCAATTTAGGAGAAAAAATAAGTCGTTTATTTAGAAAACGGATTTTTTTAGAACAGTCCCAGGATTTGTGCATGGGGTTTCAAGTAGCGTCTGTATATGGAATTCTTTCCATCACATTATAGGTTCAATATGGATCCACACTAAACACCTTTCAATTTTGGTAGGGAAATCACGTCCAGGCGCTACAGAGTGGTTGCCTTGAGATCCTCGTTAGCAATGGGCAGTAATGCAATTCATGATGTTTTGCAAGCTTCGGATCGGAATGCAATCACTCGCAGATAAAAGTCCTCTTTGAAATCACAACCTGGTGGACACACGATGACTGTAATACGCGGCGATTCAAGGGGCTACTTCATTCTAACGTAATTAACAGAAAGTAAAGGACGCTGGGTGGTTTTCCTCTGTTGCTTTTGCCAGGAATAAGGACGCCTACCACTCCGTGTAATACTAATGAAATCAAACTTGCCCTTGCATCCCACTGGAGGGTATACGCAGTCAAAGTATGATTCCTGGCATACAGTTGTCAGAATGAAACGTAAATTTCTGTTAGAAATCAAGGTTTATATCCATAAAGAAACAGAATCTTGGTTTAATCATCAATATCTCTCTGAAATTCACACGTGTGTCTGAACTTCTTTGTTTTCAATTTAGGTAACCCAATATTGTGAAACCGATTATCTCGAAAAGTAGTATCGAGTGGGCTGCTGACATCTTTTGCATTAGCATATCATATATGGTTAGCACATCGATATCAAGCTATTTAGTGCAACAATGGAATCGGTGCCCTTTTGCATTCATTAGCCAATGCTTTATCGATATTGCCTCTAGAGGGTAATAAGTGAAATGTCAAAATGTACGGACAGAATTAGAAATAATGTTGCAGCTCCACGAAATAGTTATTTTCCATGAAGTGCAAAAACTGTGGTGTTAAAATCAACACTTTTTGGTGTTATCAGATGACAACGCCATAGGGTGTTACTTTAACACCGTCGGTGTTACTTTGCACACCAATTAGTGTAACAATGCACTGGAGTGTGTTAAAAGTAACACCAGATAACATCAAAATGTTTAACACCAGTAAAAGGTTTTGGTGCAGTCCTCTGTTAACACTTGGAGTGTTAAATTTAACGCCCGAGTTTTTGCAGTGTACATTCTCACATATAAATACCATACCCCACGAGGAACATGGCGATGTGTCTCTAGACAACTGTCATTTTGTCTACAATTGTATGGGCGGACAAAGTTTGCTGAAATATCAGCTATTTGTGGATGGTTTGATTCATCGGAATGTGTTTTATATGGACAACTAAACTGTCTTATTATTTTTAAACATGGCTGTATTTTTAATTAGTATTAATGGAAGCACTTGTATTATTACCCGGTGTTCTGAAAGCTGCTTGGGATTTTCGATTGTTTCTTGAATTTTGCATTACGTTTTTCCTTTTTTTTCCGAAACCGTTAATAGTTTGAGCAGCCACCTGTATGTGACGTCAGAAGAGCAGACCCCACTAAGCAATCCATTATGTTAAACTGAATTCAAACATCACCAATAAACCTATGTAGAGCGTCCGTTAGTTTGGTTTTTTTTTCTTTTTTTTTCTACAGTACATAAGCACTCAGTACGTCGATAAGTACTCCTTTAATCTTTGAAGCGCTTGGTACCCAACTTTCCATTGTCCATGATTGCAGAAATTGCTTTGGTTATGTTTGACGTGTATGTGTAAGTTTGGACTGATCCTAAAGCCGGTTCTGCTGCTCGGGCCGGTTGAGTGAAAGAAAAGTAGTCCATCTTTGAAGGTGCACTGAGGAAAAACTGGCCTGTGGTCAGGTCGTCAATGACGTTACACGCTTTCCTCCATTGTACTGATAAAAGAACACAATACACATCACGGTAACTGTAAAATTCGATTATGTAAATCGAGTGGTTTTGTTTATTGCACATGTTAATACGCAAAATGCCAAAACTACTCAAAAGTGATGAATGCGTCACTGAAATGCGTGCGTGTTTCGTGCTTTCTTTCCCCGTCCAGATGGACGAACTGTTGTATCGGGATTTGATGCTGTTGGAGCGCTCTCTCAGCACGGACGGTTCAAATGGTGAGTCTGTGCATGCCCCTCCGGATTCTGAAAACTCAGGTACTCCTAATTCTAAAATGACTGTCTGCCTTTTGGCTAGCTGGATATGCAAAAGTCCACATCAAGGACTTACCAGGGTTTCCATTTTAGCTGGTCTGGGTGCCTGTCTTTTTCATGAACCAAGCAGTTTTTATACTTTCGCTTTTTTGTCGAACGAAATGTTGTCTCGTTTTACAAGTCATACATTGATCGGTTAAATTAGATGGAAACCATCCCGAGCGCCAAATAAAAACCTCTGTCCCTTTCTTGTGAGAGGGCGTTGACATCTTTCTTTCACTCGCTGTTTGGCCCATTTCGATCTATACCCAGCAAGAAATGAGACCGAGGGGTACCCCCCATATTTCCAATCCCTATACACATTCCAGACTACTGTTACTTAACGCCCCCCCCCCAAGATGTCTGAAAGGAATTCCCCAGATTCCTGCGAGACAATGACCAACACAAAGCAGGGGGGGGTTCTCTCCGTCTCATACCTTGCTGCATCTGTTTCGATCACTGAAGGAATTAGAATGGTCTAAACTACAGCGTGTTTTCTGAAGGCAGGAGGAGCTTGTGTCCTTCGTCCTGGGTAGGGTGCAGAGAACAAAGCAGAGCTGTTCAGAGGACAACTGTGGCCACTCTGCAAGTCAGTCTCAAAGCAATCTTGGTAATCCAGTGCGACAGAGCTATGGATTACCAAGGTTTCGTAAGGGATTAGGAATTCCTTCTGTTAGAGGATTTCATAGGATGAGGAGAAACCGTGAGTTTTACAATGAGAGTAGGACAAAGATGGTGCGCCATTGAAGGCGTTTACTCACAGCCGTCCAGGGTGCCTGCTTAGAGAAGGGACACATACAGTAAAGCTTAAAAATATATTTGTTGATTGTAAAGTTGCACCAACAAATGGACCGGAGCGAGATTTCAACCCGCGACCTGTATTTTCCGAATACCGTACCGGTGCTCTACCAACTGAGCTATTCAGCCCACGTTGGTGGTGCTTCCATTCGTCAATATTTTTGTTCAGGAGCGCAAGTCAGAAGCCAGGAATTGTGTATTTCTTTATCATTTGTGCTTCATAGATGAGTAGCAATGAGACGAATACTAACCTCAAACTTAAATTAGCACCCTGGGCGAAAAGGGGCAAATTCTAAACACTGGAAGTGAAAAATAATTGATCCAAAAATAATCAGGCCAACTTATCCACAGTCTTATTCTAAATTGCATACTGTAAAAATGTAACAAACCAACTGACATGTAACCAACCTTTAAATGGGATACGTCTCGCGGACAAAATGACCCTGTGACGGCCGAGCAGGCCGTTGTGCCGGCAGGGACAATCGAGTTCAGGTGCGACTCGCCTGTAAAGGCGAGACGCATCTTTGTTACAATCCCTGCACAGGAAGCCCTCTTGCAGCTCAGCGAGGTTAGAATTGGTAATCGCCCATTGAGCAGTGCAGTGAAGGTACCCGCCATGCTAAGTATGCTAAGGATAGGGAAGGTTTAGGCTACTGATGGGTCCATTGTCCTCCCCATCCCCACCCTATCCGGTTTGAAACGTTCTAGTTCAAAACCGCCCCCGTTTTGCGTTCTTTGAAAGCACATTTGCACAAAACGTGTAATGGCACTGACGTTTTTAATAATCAACGATCTACCAGGACTGTGCGTATATTCTAACAGTTTCTCTAAGGTCTACGGATGTGCCTAGCTTGGGCAGTGGTGTAGCCATTCCGGTTAGATCCATCATATCATTCCTCGTTAAATGATTTCCACCATAGAACCACATCCTCAAAAAGTGTTGTAAATCAGAAAATCAGACATGGGAGTGCTGTTGGACGCAGGCTGCCCTGTGGGCACCTTTTATTATGTTCTTCAACACAGATATTCGAAGATACTTCCAGATAAGGTGCTGGAGGAAAAGACTTGTCTGTGCGCGGTTTTAACGTTTATCTGAAGAATTTTGTTTCTGTTAATGTTTTCCTCAAGGAGCTGGCAGGATGCAAAAGCTGAGCCTCGTTGGTAAAGCGGTACAACAGTCTTCCACTTTCGGCAGCAAAGGCAGGGCAAAGAACGCAATTGATGGGAATCGTGCGGCAATTTATCAGCAAGGGTCTTGCTCGAGTACACGTAAGAAAGACGGTTCTCCATCCCCCTTCGGCAGTCTTATACTACTTTGGGTTGTTATTACTGATAGAAACAATGTTTCCTAGAGCTTTATGCGTTGTGTACAAAGCCCGTGATCAGTTTACACGTTAGCTAGTGAAAAGCATAGTTCTTTGGGATACAACGTGGATGTCAAAGTGGATGTTGCGTGACGACGTTCCATTGTCCAAACTACTATTATTTTTGTTGACGTAGGGTTCCAGAGGAATCCGTTTTGGAGATTGGACCTTGGAACAGAGCACTGCATCGCCAAAGTCACAATACTCAACCGCGAGGATTGCTGCCGTAAGTTTGAGGCTTCTCAAAACCTCTGGTGACGTTAAGAATCTAGTCCCCTGAGCAATACGAGTTTAATTTACTTAATTTAATTAATAATGGGAGACACTTCACCGGGGAGACTACTGTGACAGTTAGCCAAGAGTTCAGCTCATTGATACTTGTTATATCTCGTTAAAACAGACCAATTAACAGAGTACAACACAGGTCAGTACTCAGACAGGGGCCAGGGGCGGCTTAAACCGTACAATTACTGTTATCAGTAGACTTGCTGCCCTACATCTGGTTGTGGATCAATAAAAGACATATATTCAATGTTACTAATACGTCTACAACATTTGACTATCTAAAAATTTACAAGAAACCAGGATAAGACATGCTGCTGCAGGACATGATACAAATGCTAAAAACAGAAAATCATATTTACACATTGCAAGGAAAAGGTTATATTAAATGACTTACTTGGCAAAAAGGGGAAATGAAATGCAAAAGATCAAAATGTTTATAGGCCTATAGATAGAGAAAATATGAATACAAAATATGTAGGTAAATAACGGATGGATTCGTGTACAATTACTACCTCTGATTACTATCAGATTATCTGTTTACTATCCACTTCATGTAGGGACAGCATTTATCTGCATGTGAAAGGGGCACCGAATATTTTATGTACAATAAATTATAATAATTTACAGTATTAAATTGTAATAACTTATTTTGACTATATGAAATAAATTTCATTTTTTTCCACTCAGCTGAACGTTTGAAAGGTGCTCTTGTACGAGCTGGCACACTAACTAGACTAAGCCAAAACCGGGCGTGTGGCTCCAGAGTCACCGATACCGAGGCCAACGTGGCCGGTGGAACCATCGTCAGGGAGTGCGAGAAACCGTTGTTGACACGCTATATTTCCATTGGAAACCTGGCAAAGAGAGCGATGTTAACGTTGTGCGAAGTAGAGGCGTATGAGGTACCAATGGAAGAATGTACAGGTAAACTCAAGAAACAAACCCAAGATGGTCCATATTGGGGGTTTCTTACTCTTTTGTAATATTGATAACATGTGGAAAGCATATTCCATCTCGGCTGTTTGGGGGTTATTCTTCATTCCGAGTTTTGTTTAAAAATGCATTCGATCAAGGACAAAAACGCAGTTTTAACTTTGATTCTTGGATGTCAGGTTTTATTATTTTCGGCAGACATAGATTACTACGAGTGCAACCTATTAAAACGCAATTACGTAGATGTCGAATTGAAGTTTTAGCAAATTTCGCGGACTCGTCAAAGGATATAATGTCCCATGCGTTCATTCCGGTAATGCTCCTTTTGCAAGTATTAGTATTAGTTAAAGTCCCATCAATTTCTTTAATAACTAGCAGAGAATAATACCAGCGAATAACAGAGCGCCTCCCATACATATAGTGACTTCCTAGATAACATCAACTCACCTTCAATTTTTTATTTAGGTATCGACAACTGTGAGAGCAGTCCCTGTCAGAACGGTGCCACCTGCGTGAATGGTGTTAGCGATTTTTCTTGTACGTGTGCTACAGGCTTTACAGGCTCTCTCTGCGAAATAGGTGAGTTTGATTTAAATTTGACAAAGGACGATATTCCTAAATATTTTATGCAAAGTAAATGTTTGTCTGATGCAGTTGTTGGGTTAGTTTTCAGGACTTTTATATAAAACTGAAAATTATTTTTAGCAAGGGATTTTCATCATCTAAATTTAATGATTAATGTCAATACTCAAACATGGATATTGAGTGCAAGAGCAGTCCCTGTCAAAAAGTCCAACTTTTGTGGACTGTATAAACGAGGTTGTTTGTACATGCGCTGGTGGCTTTATTACCTGCAAGGGACTTTATCCTTTGTTTTTATCTTGTCTATAATCCAGACATTGATGAGTGTGAAAGTAATTCCTGTCAAAATGGTGCAACTTGTGTGGACGGTATCAACGAGGTTTCTTGTGCATGTGCTGCAGGCTTTACTGGCCCTCTCTGCGAAACAGGTGAGTTTCATAGGATCCAGGCGTTAATGACTGTCAAGATTTTTACCTGCGAGGGACTGTATCCTTGTTTTTGTCTAGTCTATAATCTAGATATTGATGAGTGTGAAAGTAATCCCTGTCAAAATGGCGCGACTTGTGTGGACGGGATTAACGAGGTTTCTTGTACATGTGCTGATAATCCTGCCATGGACGGAGGGGTCCCCCCATGACCAATCCTTATACACAATCTCGATTATTGTCACCTAACACATTCCCTCTAGATGTCTGTAAAGAATTCTCCAGATTCTGATCAAACAATAACCAAGACAACGGTGGGAGGGTGCTCTCCGTCCCATATCTTGCTTCATGTGTGCCGATGGCTTTATTGGCCTTCTCTGCGAAACAAGTGTGTTGCGTCAAGTTGATCCAGACATCCGATTCTACAGGCAATACATTTTGTGTCATCTNCACATCTGGTTCGATGTCTTGTCTATAATCTAGATATTAACGAGTGTGAAAGTAACCCCTGTCAAAATGGCGCAACTTGTGAGGACGGTATCAACGAGGTGTCTTGTGCATGTGCTGAAGGCTTTTATGGCCCTCTCTGCGAAACAGGTGAGTTCCATAGGGTACAGGCGTTAATGACTGTCAAGATTTTTACCTGCGAGGGACTTTATCCTTTTTTGTCTTGTCTGTAATCTAGATATTGATGAGTGTGAAAGTAACCCCTGTAAAAATGGTGCAACTTGTGAGGATGGTATCAACGAGGTTTCTTGTGCATGTGCTGAAGGCTTTACTGGCCCTCTCTGCAAAACAGGTGAGTTTGATAGGATTCAGGCGTTAATGACTGTCAAGATTTATACCTGCGAGGGACTTTATTCTTTGTGTTTGTCTTGTCTATAATATGGATATTGATGAGTGTGATCCGTGTCAAAATGGCGCAACTTGTGTAGACGGTATCAACGAGGTGTCTTGTGCATGTGCTGAAGGCTTTACTACCATCTCTGCGAAGCACGGGAGGTTCATAGGATTCAGGCGTTAATGACGGTCACGATTTTTACCTGCGAGGGACTTTATCCTCTTTTGTCTTGTCTGTAATCTAGATATTGATGAGTGTGAAAGTAACCCCTGTCAAAATGGCGCAACTTGTGAGGACGGTATCAACGAGGTTTCTTGTGCATGTGCTGAAGGCTTTTATGGCCCTCTCTGCGAAACAGGTGAGTTTCATAGGATTCAGGCGTTAATGACAGTCAAGATTTGTACCTGTGAGGAACTTTATCCGTTGCTTTTGTCTTGTCTATAATCTAGATATTGATGAGTGTGAAAGTAACCCCTGTCAAAATGGCGCAACTTGTGTGGACGGCATCAACGAGGTTTCTTGTGCATGTGCTGAAGGCTTTTATGGCCCTCTCTGCGAAACAGGTGAGTTTCATAGGATTCAGGCGTTAATGACAGTCAAGATTTTTACCTGCGAGGGACTTTATTCTTTGTGTGTCTTGTCTATAATGTGGATATGGATGAGTGTGATCCATGTCAAAATGGTGCAACTTGTGTAGACGGTATCAACGAGGTTTCTTGTGCATGTGCTGCAGGCTTTACTACCATCTCTGCGAAGCACGTGAGGTTCATAGGATTCAGGCGTTAATGACGGTCACGATTTTTACCTGCGAGGGACTTTATCCTTTTTTGTCTTGTCTGTAATCTAGATATTGATGAGTGTGAAAGTAACCCCTGTCAAAATGGCGCAACTTGTGTGGACGGCATCAACGATGTTTCTTGTTCATGTGCCAAAGGCTTTACTGGCCTTCTCTGCCAAACAGGTGAGTTTCATAGAACACACGCGTTAATGACGGTCACAATTTTTAACTGCGAGGGACTTTATCCTTTTTTGTCTTGTCTGTAATCTAGATATTGATGAGTGTGAAAGTAATCCCTGTAAAAATGACGCAACTTGTGTGGACGGCATCAACGAGGTTTCTTGTGCATGTGCTGAAGGCTTTACTGGCCCTCTCTGCCAAACAGGTGAGTTTGATAGGATTCATGTGTTAATGACTGTCAAAATCTTTACCTGCGAGGGACTTTATTCTTTTTTTCTTTTTTTTTTTTTGGTCTTTTCTATAATCTAGATATTGATGAGTGTGAAAGTAATCCCTGTCAAAATGGCGCATCTTGTGAGGACGGTATCAACGAGGTGTCTTGTGCATGTGCTGAAGGCTTTTATGGCCCTCTCTGCGAAACAGGTGAGTTTGATAGGATTCAGGCGTTAATGACTGTCAAGATTTTTACCTGCGAGGAACTTTATTCTTTGTGTTTGTCTTGTTTATAATGTGGATATTGATGAGTGTGATCCGTGTCAAAATGGCACAACTTGTGTGGACGGTATCAACGAGGTTTCTTGTGCATGTGCTGAAGGCTTTACTACCATCTCTGCAAAACAGGTGAGTTTCATAGGATTCAAGCGTTAATGACAGTCAAGAATTTTACCTGCAAGGGACTTTATCTGTTGCTTTTGTCTTGTCTATAATCTAGATATTGATGAGTGTGAAAGTAACCCCTGTCAAAATGGCGCAACTTGTGACGACGGTATCAACGAGGTGTCTTGTGCATGTGCTGAAGGCTTTACAGGCCCTCTCTGCGAAACAGGTGAGTTTCATAGGATTCAAGCGTTAATGACAGTCAAGAATTTTACCTGCAAGGGACTTTATCCGTTGCTTTTGTCTTGTCTATAATCTAGATATTGATGAGTGTGAAAGTAACCCCTGTCAAAATGGTGCAACTTGTGTGGACGGTATCAACGAGGTTTCTTGTGCATGTGCTGAAGGCTTTTATGGCCCTCTCTGCCAAACAGGTACGTTTCATAGGATTCAGGCGTTAATGACAGTCAAGATTTTTACCTGTGAGGAACTTTATCCA